ATAGGAAATGCCAACAAGAACGCCACTGCTGTCAGTTAGTCGCCATATCCTTCAGTGTCTCCAGCGAACCAGTTGTAGAGTCTTTCGGATCCCATCCTGGAAGACGGGAGACACCCATTCTACCTAATTGCTCTGTGCATCTCTTCATGCCTTGCTTCCCGTCCACTGTTGACCTACACGCGGTTTTGTCCAGCCTGGAGCCGCTATACATATATCCACATACTACTTATTATTAAATATTCTACCAAGACCATCAGGTCACGTTTGTTGCGGTTAGTATCATCTAACCCACTTACAAAACATCGAATCATAGCATTGATTCTTCATTAGACTGGCTCTGAAGGAGCTTTCTATCCAAAGGTTACCCGGTGTTGCAAACAAAATTATTCCTGGGTAGAAGTATATGAATGAACTGAGAAAAGATTACCGGATACACATGCCTGACGATCGGCAAGAACTGCGAAACNGTGTGCCTCGAGGGGAATTTTGTCTAGTCATTCACATACTACTTATTATATATATATATATATCATATCATATCAATCATGATATGAAGTTTGTTACATGACAGTTGACTCAATGCTGGAGATCTAGAAAGAGTTTAGACTTTCATGAACATCATAAGGCGACCGACTCGGGTGTATTTCGTACATCGATGTATAGTGTCGTTTCTTGATCAGTCTTCATTTTAGGTTCTAAGAAATGAAGACGTAAATACAGGAAGCAAAACGACTATATTTGTTCGGGCTTCCGCGGTGTTGCTTGCAACATGGGTTCCGTAAGTGGTGGTGATCAAGCCGTTTAAGTTTCTGCTTTGGATCCCGTGGTTCAAACACTATCACCACCGTCCAACTTCAGTGGAAGACCACTTCACTGTCTACCGGGTAATTGGCACACAGATCTTATCAGATCCTTATATGCTTTGCCTCGGGGTATAGTTTGCCGATTATCCCGAAGACACAGCAGATTCATGTGGTTAGGGGATTCACCCAGCCCATTTGCCGTCCATCACATAATGGCAAGAAATAAACAGTTGTTCAGCACGTGGCACTTTTTGCGGTAACTGAAGACGAGTGAAAATGATTGATGCAGGGGTGGCACTAGGAGCGGTTGCTAAGAGACGTTGGCGTACCTGTTCACTTACGTTTTGTTCGTTTAACAATGTTTCACTGATGTTGTATGCTGCTAAGATGAACATTTTAATCAGTCTTCCGGAGACTTTGCAAAAAGATGATGATTAAAACCAAGGTGATCATGTTCAAACCTATCAGCGCTGTAAACTGGGAAGAATACAGCACACTGAAAGATGAACAAGTATACTGAAACTCAAATTAGTTTTCACGATCGTACTACCAAATACTTACGCAATGATTGCTCCGAAAATTCCCAATTCGAGGACCACATCTTTTCGAGCCCCTGGATTCTCCCATCCAATGACATTATTTTGGACAACATAAGGATAAAAGCGCTCCATCAGAACGTAGGTTGCACCGAGACCCTGATCCATTATGTGCTCGAGTTGCTTGATAATATCCTCTGCAAACGGGACAGGGAAAATATTTGTTGCGTTTTGTTTTTCATCAAGTATGCATATTAACCATGCTGTAGTTCAAATGTGCTAACGCCAGAGCTGGAATGAAAATAATAACGTTAGTTTGGAATCACGGCAACAGTGAAACCAATAAAAATTGAGGTTCTTTACCGAAAAAGAGACCTAGTAGTTATGTTCGTATTTTTATTACAACTGCTACCGTTCAAAATTCCTGGTCCCTTTGACGGTCTTTAGGGCAGTCTATATGCAAATACCTATCATAAATGTTAAAACCGCGTCCGTGCTTGTTCTAGAGGGGAGTTTGAATAAAACCAACCGTTGGTTAAATCATGAAATGGAATTGAAGTCATAGCGTGAACGTGGTAGTTGCGAAGACCGTCATAGCCTAAACGTAAAAATCGTTACGCTCCGTAGAAAAATAACTGTGGAGGGCGTTCACATGGCTGTTAATGCGATCGAAACTTGTGACTGTAGATCAGGTGTGCATTATTAGGAGAGGGAGGATGTAAACACTGGGTGAATTGTGTAACGAGATTTCTTCGGTCAACAATACACTTTCACTGCATACAAAACAGTTAATCGGTAGTCCATCCAACAGACGCAAACTCTCTATGAGCTTTGGATGTTTTTGTAATGGTCCCGAGGGACAGAAACAAAGACATCAAGTAGAAGTGGCAATATTTCAATCTTATCGGGAAACCTAGCTCAAGTATACATAAATGAACAGTTCAATGTAGAACGAAAAATGCAATGCACGATGCTTAGCGGATTACCAAGCGCTGACCGAGGACAAACAGGGGGTATTTAAAAGTGAAATAAAGGATTCAGCAAGCGTAATATCGCTGGTCGAAAGATCTCGGTAACCACCTCCAATAAATTACTTTCTGAAGAAATGACAATGACGTTCGGATAACAGGGGACTGATAAAACAAAAACAACGGATGTACAACTTGTTTTCAAGGACGTATCACTGACTATGCCCTAAGGTTTATAGGTTCTTCTGATCAATCTATCACTCGGAAAACGTTAACAAGACTTGTTGTGTTTGCTAGTCTATTACTGAGTCTTGCCCCACGATACGTTTCCCGAGGAGTTCAGCCAAAAGACAATGGCGAAGCCCTGGGTCCCATGGATCTAGTAATGCTGAGAAAACACCGCACTTTCCTACGGTGGCGATTGGTCTCAGTCCGTTTTGAACTGATACCGTGGAAATTCTCAAGGGAAAGTCTGGTTTCTCCTGGCAAGACTATTCATAAGATATATTTAACTACTTGAGGTTCGTACTCGAATACTCAAATCCACACACAAAGTAAATCTCGACGAAAGCGATTTGATAAAAGCAGTCCGTTACTCTACGCTGCACGACTAAACTACCGTGCCCTACAGCTTTCTTGTCAGTTCCATTTCCGTGTACCATGATTATTATTTTTGAGAATCTAAATAACTTGCCGACGTAAAGTTCAATAACGAAATTTTAATTTATAACAGCGAGAACAAGCATTATCACTGAACAGGATAAGTTCAACTATTTTGAATTATCTCTTCAGCTGTGTACAAACATTCATGTGAAAGTTCGATCAGAACAATGGTGAATTTTTGAACACCAAATTACTCCACTAAGCAAAATCAAGTTTGCTGTAGAACATGAATCAATTAACGGACGTCAAAACCACGAGAAAGGAAAATGGATCTCTCATCAAGTCTACATTCCACAAACAAACTTGGACGAGACAGTATCTGAATTTCGCAGACTTCGGTCTGGTGCAGTAGAAACGATCCCAGTGAAGGGTTTATTTTCTAGGTCAAAGAGGATTTGTTTCGCAGGATAACTTGATAGCAATCTTGAGCTGATATTTCAGGAACGCACTACACCACTACGTTAATCTTTCTCCATGCAAGTAGGCGAATGGTTACTGAATCCAACTTGGATAAGCTGAACTCTCAAGTTAACTCCCCATGTCAAGTCAAACACAGGCTTTATGCACTCCGAAAGGTGAATATTCAGCAGCAAACTTTTACAACGCACTTGCAGTGGCAAGTATATTGGAATAACTGAGAGATGATTATCCACTAGGACCTCAGAACACGTCCAAAGAAGTTTAGCGCTGAACGGTTCGAAGAGTACCTGCGGCTCTATTTCCCGCTATCTATTGGAATGCAAAATTTGCACCAAACCGAAACAAGCATTACGAGTGTTAGGCCGACCGAAGACTGTTGAGGCCGTAGCCATTCGGTATCACAAGTGGGACCTCTGCAAACAACTAAATTTTGTGGATAGCTTGATTCTGCCATGGTGGGACTGACGTATTTTCAATCAATACGTATGTTCTCTCCCTCATTACCTCGGTCCAATCCAAGTGTGACTGGTGACTTTCACATGAAATTTATCTATTCAAGTGTTTTTGGTGTTTACAGATTTGTCATTGTTCTGATCGAGCTTTCATATGACTTTTGAACACAGTTGACTTGACTTGAAAACTTGATGATGTTTGTTCTCGCTCTTATGAAATTCCATCTCGCCTGTTCGCAAACGTTTCACCACCAGCCGAGGTGACATCATCAGTGCGTGTGAAATGGCAGTGTTCTGCTTGTATCTGTTCGTTTACATGTGTTCTTCTGCACTGACTATTTTTGTCCCTTGTTCTCACTGTGTCCGATTCGGTTGGCCGTCAAACTGATGCGCGTGGGTTAGGATGAGAGGAGTTTGTCCTGATTGCGGTTTCGGTCCGTTCTTAGGTCAGGGCGTGACCTTTATTTTTGTTGCGTCATTTGATCCTTGAGTTGATTTGCGTGTACAAGTGATTCAGTTCGATGAGCCTGTTTCTTGAGTTGATTGAACAGTGCCAAGCCTCAATAAATTCTCTGGTGTGTTTTGACCGGTCTTGGTTTCATTGATTCCAAATTAGGCGGATGTCCTTCTTGATCTTCGTGTAGGGAAATCAACGATAGTGGGTCGTTTCCTGCCTGCCGATCGGTGTTCACGGATCCTTGATCACAGTTATCTTCCGGTTTGTCCAATATGATGTTTTGGGTAGTTCTTGGAGTTTATTTTGTAGATAACACTGCTCTTGTCCTTCCCCATTGTTCTCTTTTTTGGTTTTGACGGAACTTGCCTTAGACAGGCAGTCGGTTTGTGGGCAACTTGGATTCCATATGATCACATCAGTCTTGATGTCATTTCCGAAACGTCCTTGATGTATGGCAGAGGCGTTCTTGTTCCCGATTCTGTCTGCCTTTTTCCTTCTTTCCTTGAGTCAGTTCCTTTGATGAAGCTGCGGATGTAGCAATTGCGAACAAATACTCTGAGGAGGCATCTTTCTTCTTCGGTATGTCAGTGCTGCAGTGCGTTTCGATTCTTTCGAAGATGTATAAACTATTGCCAACTGCAATGAGTCAGAGGTTGACAAATCGGGGCAGGTACCAGTGATTTAACACTGTAGTGAGTGACCAAATAATACCCCCGTCACACACAATGACCTTGAAGCAAAAACAAAGACACAACAAAGTAATTAGTGTTGAAGAGGCTAATCGATTTCTATTTCGCCTGTTCGCCGAGCTTGGCAATTTGTTTGCAAACATTTCATCACCAGCCGAGGTGATATCATCAGTGCTTGTGAAGTGACCATTTCACAATGGAATGGAATGGAATTCAGTTCACCCGAGCTACGAGAACCGATTTTCAATATTTTGTCAACAGGCTCATCAGTATCGATGAATGCGAAACGGATAATTTGTACTAAATTTGCGAAAAGATCCATGGTTCAGCTGTAGCACATATGAAATATCTAGACGGCACGCGAGGTCCAGATATGTGGCACGATATATGAAGCAAAAAGCAAATAGGTATCACGCAAAAATGAGCTGGACTCAAGCTACACTGCCAGGGGAAGGTAGGCGCACATTGGTACGTGAGTTACGCGTCGGAGATGCAATTGGTATTTGAGTTGAACGTTTGGATGAAAGTGATACACAGAAAATCCAAAGGTGGTCAAGCTAAGACCTGGCACGAGGGTTTGAAAACCCTAACCAGGGGAGTGGGTGACATAGGTCTCGTTAAGCTCCCCGGTTGAGGACCTCAAGATGATCGTAATCGATGGTTAGAGACACTGAGTGATATGATTGTGTCAGAAACAGTAGCGTTCATGTATCTTCTCACTTTCTTTGCAACCCTAATCCACTGAAACTCTCCTTTTTATGTTCCACTCTATTTTCAACTTTACTGTCTTTCCCCCACTGCGCATCCAAATGGGCAGCCAAAAGACAGCAATGAAAACCACGAAGGTGCATTGTTGATGGTTTTTCAAACTGAAACTGATACACAGAAGAGTCAAAACGGTACCACAGGGGAAATACAAGAAGACTGGAGAGTGAACAGCTCTATCAGCTTCACAAACAGCAAAGGGTTTGACATAGATTGAAACTCAGGTAACAAGGAAAAACGAATGAATTTTGTTTACTTTAGCGACTACAAATCAAGATAGGTAGGGGCAGAAAGGGACAGTAGTTTAGTAAAGGGATAAGATAACACAATTAAGCGGCATCTTCTATCTGTAAAAGGGTCGCATAATCGCATAGAAGCACACTTTCAGCAATAATAATGTTATTCCATAATTCGCATCTGACAAAATGACGCGTGTTGTTTTGTTAAATCAAAACAACGGCGTGACCTGCATGCAGCCCACGTTCAAAACCCTTTGAAAAACACCTGGGACATTCTCGCTTGAGGTGAGAACTGAGAGGTGAGAATTTCCACCATAAAACATGAAGAAAAATGATAAATGACTACAGAGTGGAATAAAATTAACACAATCGTTAAAATTCCACACCGAATGCGCCAAGGTGTGTGCAACTTTTAAGACACCATAACTAAAGCATCTGGTATTGAGCTGGCCTAAATGAGCAAAGTCCATGTGGATGCAATAATTCTGTCACAGTGAGGAAGGTAGATTTCCGAGTTTTTTTCTATTGAATGAAATAAAAACAATTTAAAATTCGTATTTGAACCCTCACTTCAAAATGGTTATGTTTGTACACACGGGATCGATCATATTTCGAAAACATGGAGGGGAGGAGACAAGCAAAAAGGTCGTTGCGGTGCGCATATCTACTAAGGATTGAATTGCGCTTCAACTATGGCTGACAAATTAGTTCATTATATGTACGTGGTTATCCAATAGTTTTCACATCGTTCTTTTCCCCCTGTGTGACGTCAAGATTGAACAGAAACGTGGGGGTGTATGCCAGTAGGACAATCAACTCGTATCACAGGGGCTGAATTGCAATGATTTTATCATCAACTGAAACAGAAAACTTAATGCAACGTCGTTTTGTTCGAAAAAAAGTGAAACTAATTATTAAAAACCCTGCCGGATATGATAAGGTACACAAATGGGCAAGAATGACTAGAGGCTTTCCTATTCTTCACCAGTACAAAACACAAGACAAAATATCATTCTGGTGAAACGGTTAGAGTTTAATACATAAGATGGTTGTGAATTTCTAGACCAAAATTATTTATTGAATGAACGACTAAAACTGCTCTAGATATTCATCTGGATTCCTCGTGAATACAGGGCTCACACCTAATACAGTTAATCTCACTAAAAGATCCATTAAAAAGGAGAAAACACTGAAATCAAAACCTATGCATTACAATCAGAATAAATTCACAAAAAGCCAACAGAAATTAATTGCTGTGAAGCAATAAAGAACGGGTAGTCTTTCAACATTTATCTTCTCTTGCGATAACATTTAATTGAATTTAATATACTGNTGCAATCAAGGAATACATTCAAGATACCAACCAATAAATTTTTATTACCGAATTGTGTTCTCGCTGTATCTGGCAATCGTTCACGCTAAACTGAGTCTGATATACCTCCATATTTCGGGTGGAACTACTAATGTTTCATTGTAGACACCTGGCAGTTCTTTTATCGGTATTGACAGAGAAATGTACATGTCACCAAGATAGTAGCAGAATGGCACCGAAAGTTTACTCGGAGACTTCGAGCGATCGGTGAGTCGGTTCCTCTTAATTAAGGGGTGATATAATGTTCCAAAGGTTTTCTATTATATCCCAAACGTACCGTCGAAAAAGTTATTCCCGCCACCTTCTCGTTGAGGTTTGAGTACAAATCGTTCAGGATGGGATCGACATTCCTCGAGTAATCGTTCCATATCACCGGCATTGATCAAACCGAACGCGTCACTCAGCGGATACTGCCGTGCAAACGTGGCCAGTAATCGGTCAAAATTAGCATTTTTCGGATCAATAAAACGTGCCAATTGCGCCGGTTGAGACAGAGTAGCTTGAATCAGTTTCGTGTTGGCCAAAAGATATTGCACACAGGGGCATTTGATTGCTCGAGATCTTTCCAACTGATACTTCACTTCCCAAATCTGCACGATTAAAGTGAACCGAAAAGAAAAGATGTGCTATGCAAATCACAGATAAGATCTGTGTCCTTCATGAAGAAACTTTTTCTAAATTCGATCAACTTTGTCATCCCCGGCTTATTCCCATATGGGATGCCCACATAAATTTGCATATCTGAGAAAGTAATAACTGAATCGACGATAGACTGACGTGAGCACATAATGTGCGAGTTTCGTATTTAGTTTTTTTCTTTTATCCTAGGAGCCCGAAGAGTAGTGGAAAGTGCTACCGATCGCAGTGAGTGGAACTAAGTGCAAGAATAAAATCACGAGCACGTTTTGCTGCGTTTGCATCAAACAGTGCATTCGATGTACTACGCGACCGCGATCGCCTAAAACTGCGTCGAACCTCGACATTAATTGTCCAGTTTCTCCAACAGACTCGTAGAATGCGGCGTAGAAAGTGGTGTTCGAAGACCGATAGTCTACCTTTATCCTGTTCCAGTAATGGCCAAGTCTCTGTGTCACATGTCAGCACCAAACGGACTGCTGCAATGCACATTGGGCACTGTGAGGATAACCGGATGTAGCAGCGACGCCAGAGATGTCTAACATCGGTAAACATCAAACGAGCTTCCTCTCTGCCTGTCAATCATTTATTTGCAATGTGTGAGATACAGCTGCCTTAGTGGGGTTGTACCAAACATATCACAGTAAAGCATCCTATGGAAGCGCTACTTCCAGTATAACCCAACCAAAAACGGACATTTTCTCAAGAATCCACAATTACGTGCGTAGCAAAACTTATTAATGAATAACCGGGTGACGACGATCAAATTCAGGTATGGTATATGTGAGAAAGCGAAAGAAGGTTATTTATATTGGACATATCCTACATTCTAATGGATCTATTCCACAAGTGCATCAGCTTACCTCGTCAGATGGAAAGTGTTCGGGGACATAACCATGACGATAGTAGACAACGGCAATTTCTTGAACATCACTATACAGCCCAAATTTGGGAAATAAAAAGGAATTGTTGTAATAATCTGAAGTGTAAAACAAAATAATCGCCATAGAGTACCGCAAATGTGCAATGCAAGAATATTCAGCCAAAACAACTATTACAATAGGGACATTCTCAAGAAAATACAATTCCATTGGTAGGCAATATGAATTGATTAGATTCGTTGAGTGTATGCAGTCACTTTGTTACATAATGGGCCATTCGTTTATGTGGGACGAATACTGACTGAAAGTGAGATATCAAAGATGAAGGCAAGCTTTAATCTGCGAAATGCACATCTGTTACATCGATGAGAGATACTGTAAACAAGCCCTGGTATCATCACATTCGGAAGAACTGTCCGGGATTTGCGCAATCGTGAATTTTGCACATCAATCATTTGGGCTTTGTTTCAGCTTTTTGGTAAGCCATATGATAGACGGATGAAACCAAGACTGAGATAGAGAGAGCATTCAGTTTACAATTTTTTTCCTCCCAGTAATTAGTCTGGTTCTCAAATGCAGTTTCTATGTTTGATGTCCTTCATCAAAAGCTTAGCACAATGCAAAGCAGACGCGAAAATGAGAGAAAGGAGGAAGTGGAATATACATAAGAATGCTATTATTTGGAACAGACCAAACAAGTTCAGTGTCTTCAGCTACCGACAGGACACAATTATATTGTGGACATCCAACCGAACCGCATAATTCACAATTCTCTCTGGCGCAAATGATACTGATTACTTGCGGAAAAATCGGATAAGCTCATTTACGGATGTACGAAGCAAGCATCCCAACCCAGTTAGTTTGTGAAACTCAAGCATTTAATTCCATGCCCCATTTCGATTGTGCAATATCATGTATCTAATCGCAGAGCTACTAATTCGAATATCTCTTCAAATTTTGTCAAAGATGAGGGCGACAATGCATAAAAATTATTTACTTATGTCTTTCTCCTCAATCTAATGATTAGTTTGTGGCATCGCAGGAAAAAGCAGAAAGAACAGGCGTGTAAAAGGCTCGATTTGCGACGGACGGAAGAATGTCAGATCAACGAATTCCGACCAGATGTTTTGTATACGATTTAAAAATTGACCGGAAATTTCAGATGAAATGTAAAACAGTAAACCAGTAAACCGATTTTCCAGAACAATGACTTATGCACCATTTCAGTGTTTTAGTGCCAATTTCCAGTTCGATGAGACAAAACACGTACGAGACAAGGCTGTGCTGCTACCGGAACCATCTGTCCACACACACACACATTTTCAATCGAGTAGTATTTCATTCCGAAGAGCCACAAGAATAGACCTATTTTTCGTCCAAGACAAATCTGAAAAAAGTGAAAAACCTGATACAGCACTCTGTACACAGACATTCGATTTCATAATCACAGTGGAAGCATGTCAGATGAGAAACCACTCGTGTCTAAACTCTGATTCAAGCGAGTCTGTATTTCTGATGAGTTCTAACAGTGACGAAACGACTTTAAAGTAATTCATATTAATATATATAATATTTTATATTACACTTCTCCGAGTCCACACAAATCGTAGCACAAATATGTTTAGAACAAAGAAATTGGTCCGTCGATTTGCTCTGAGTGGGTGATGCTTTGACTGTGTGAAGCGCGACCCTTGTAAAATTGCACAAAACCTGTTACACATAAAAATCTGATGAGGACAACCCAAAAGGAACGAGCCGACAAACACGATAGAGTATCCCGTCTTCAATTAGTTTAAATGATGGAGAAGAAAACCCGAAGGAAAACAAAGCCTGAATTCAAACTGTACCACAGAATAGTTGTGTAATTATCTATACACGCTTGATCCCTGTGGTCAACCCATTTTTCACAGAAATCAGAATGTAAGGAAAGCCGGAACAGAGGTCAGAACATGGAGTGACACAGAACTACATGCTGTCAGGGAGCAACTGAATGATAAATAGAATACGACCAGTTGTGACGGTAACCGTCCATCTCTATTGATATGACCAAGTCGAGGGTCCTTTAGGGGATTGGTTAACTGTATCATTGATTGCTTTTGACAGAAAACTCCAATTCAAAGAACGACTCCAAGCAGGCTTGTATAGAGTTAGGAGGAATAATCAGTCAAATCTAGCCAATCTCACGCGAAGATCAATGTGAAACGAGTAGTTAAAATGACCAGTAGTGAAACGGTTGTTTTAAAATGCGGAAATAAAGTAATATAGCAATAAGAATGTAAAGAGCGCCAAAGAACAACCAAATGGATGATAAAACGAGATACTCACACAAATAAACGACGCTGTTCGTCAACGGTCATACGCTTCGTGTGGGGAGCGAGGTCGGAGAAGCTGCGAACTAGCATACCAATTCGAGGATAGCGGATGAGAAGGGCGCCCAGCAAAGCTCGCTGATCGTATATGTTTGTTTCGTGTTCGGACACAACAACCAATATACAGGGTACAATATCTCCGGATTCACGTGACAATGCCCGTATATGGTCAACATAAAGTTCTGTCGCTCGAGCCAAAGCATCCACAAACACATTGACTGATTTACATTCGGGTACCTATGAGACCGAAGCATCAGTTGAAAATAAACACAAACCGTTTGGAAAAGGCTGATACGTAAACATGTGCAACTGCTCATTAAAGCTGATTATTAACAGCGGACACCCTCGTGCACTTTTGAGTTCAGACTGTGTCCAACAAATCATAGTACAGTATTCTTTGTGAGAGGGAAAAAATGCTGTGATCTGCTTATGGTCGCGATGCTGATAGATTGCCAAACCCAAAGCAAGTGAATTTTCTTCAGGAATCCACAACCGGAGTCTTCGACCATCCGAAGCCTGATCCGCAAGACAGTGGGGCTGTGTGTGAAAACAGCAATCCAGGTCATTGAATCATAAGCCCTCCGGATGAGGCAAACGTCCAAGGTGCCCAATACACCTCGTTGCCCGATTGGGTCGGTGACAACTGCCAGGAGCCTGTTTGTGTGCGTGATTCGTACGGTAATTCAGGGTTTGACAAGTCAAAAGGTAACTATTCCTGTTTGATGTAGTTTAACGCATCCCTCATCAGTTATCTAGCCGTCTTTTATTTGAAATAGACAACTTAGCAAACAGCCTGTCGGTATTTGTATTCGCGTTATCGACTGCGAAACGCTCAAAGCCAACTTTTGTTGGTTACATGAAGAACTACACATTCCTCCTTTGGCTGGAGCCGTAAATACAGTGTAATGCTTCGTTCATGGGTTGATGCGCAATCGGCTGAGTTCCGCTTCACTCAGAAAGTCAGTTTTGACTGGGTTCACTGGGATTCCGAATGCATATGACAAAAAAAGAAAGAGAGAAAGGATTTCAACAGGTAGATAATGTGTGCTAGCAGCCCGTTTTTTGTTCTACTATATCTGCGTGAATCAATGCTCACAAAAGGGCGACGACTGATGCTTAGCTATATGACTAATAAAAAAATAACTGGCATGAAGTTATGATATCGTTTCAGACACGCGAGTCACGTGAGTTTTACTGCATAAAACAAAACCGATGAGTTATTCTGGTTGTACAACAATACAAATCGCGGTAACCAACATCGCCAAGATTATGACCTTATGTGAGGACAAACGTATGTGTTCTGAAAGTCACGGTGCGGTATCATTTACAAGCAAACCGACTGACATATACACGTGGTTTTACCACACTTGTGTGTGGGAGAAGGGCTGCCAATACAAATCCTATTTGGAATGTTTTGCACGTCTAAGGTCTTTCTTTGGATTACAGTCGATCCCATGTGCACGAACATCACTACTCTTAGGGAATCTGAACAACAATTGAATGAAGGATTTGAATGGGAATGCTCATCCGGTCGGTCCTATTTTACTCAACCGAAAAAATATCGAAAATCCACCATTCTCACCGCAACGGAAGTATTGCACCCGCATGGACTTCACCCATGAAAACCAGTTCAACACTGTCAGTTCAGTTTAGTTTTTACAACCACTAGCCATGCACTTTCGTGTGCCGGTTTTGGTTGCTGTCTTTTGGTTACCCGTTTGGATAAAAGAGCAGAACGAAGATTGGAATGTTGAAAGCAAATTCAAGCGGAAGATGGAGAATTCATGCAGAGTGGTGTTAGGAGAATATTGAGTGAATGCACGAGCGCCACTGTTTGCGACAACCAGCCATATCACTCAGTGTCTCTAACCATCGGTGACCCAGCCAGGGAGCCTAACGGGGCCCATGCGACTTAGTCTCCTGGCTAGGGTTTTCATACCCTCATGCCAAGTCCTAGTTTAACGACCCTTGGCTTTCTTCCAACCGCTACCTGCCTCGGCAAACATCGCTCGCCGTGGCAACCTATCTGATGACATGCGCAATACATGCCCCAAACAACGTAATCTATGGAGGTCGACTATTTGCTCTAGTAGACGACGTAGGCCTAATCTCAACATTGCTCGTCCGTTTCCCCACCAGACTCGTGCAATGCGACGTAGACAGCAGTGTTCGAACAGCGTCGAAAAAGCATAGGTCAAACTAAAACTTTACAAACCTAGAGAGATTTTTACGGTGCAGTGAAATTTGGCGGACAGTGAAAAGAACAAGGTTAGGAAAGAAAACCATTGCTTTTATGTTCTATGTTATATTGGGGTGGTGCCGGAGCATAAACTTTGACGATTGATTGACCTGATTCCATATAATTTTATTATTCAACATTTTTTCTCTTTCGTTTTACTTCTTCTTATTGAGTATACAATGATGCGGTTTTCAGGAAGGGAGAAGCAGCCAATCAGATAGATACCATACAATACACGGAAAACGGGGAAAATCAAGCGGTGGAGATGGGACTCCAATACACATCCCACGGGGCGATAAGTTGGCAACCTTTACCGCTGGTCCAGCACCGCTATGGTCAGATTTTTCCGGCGGTACTTGCATGGAAGCATCTAGTCCAGAGGGGTCGTTTACCAAATAAAATGACCGACCTGAGCGTTTTTGCAGGTGGTAAAGCTGAAAATGTGTTTTAAGACCTACGTCTAGCACGGTTAAATCACTGGCGTCGATGAAAAGTGATATTGCCAACTTTCCGCTTACCGAATAGTAAGAGATCCATTAAGGGGGCATTTCTGAAGGATTGCAGACAGGGATAGTGCACAGATTTAATAATACAAGAGAGAAATAATTCACTGAGAAACGAGGTCTACATTCTAGCATAGAGCAGACAGTATTTTGTCTACTGCAAGTGAATATGCGCTTATTCGTTCCTGGGGTTCTCTACATGTCTCTTCTGATGAGCCATATTTGACCTCTGTAGCATCCACTGATCGCCTTGGATAGAAACACTGAGTGTCGCAAACAGCGGTGCTCGTGCATCTACTCATCACCTTTGCAAGCTTGGTTCATGTGAATTCTCTATCTTCTTTGACTCTGTTTGCAACATCTTATCCTTCTCTCTGCTCTTTTATCCAGATGAGCAGCCAACAGACAAAAAACAGAATGCATGGTTAATGGTTGTAAAAACAGAAACTAATAAACGTCTTTATTCCTAATTCAACGTTAGTCTTAGTGAAGTCAGTGTGTACTGCGTTGCCCACATCGGTCTGTCGCCGCTAACCTACCACCTTGGTCAGTTGCTATGTCCAACGCTCAAGTGGCGAGATGGCTGATGAACGCATTTTGAACCGATTTAGACGATCTGGATCCAGAGGGCGTAACATTTTTATCGCAGTAGGATGAATAACTAAGTGAAATTTTGTATTATGTTTTTAATTCGGTTTCAATTACAATGATAGTGCACATGAGAGTAAGAAAAATCAAAAAGTAAGCGGGCGCAATCCTTTTGTTGCGGATTATATACACCAAACGAGAAGAAATATATCAATTATATCTGTAAAAGGGGAACAAAGACACTCGTGCGATAAGCATCACATTCATCAGAGGTACAAACAATTCATGCTCCAATCCTCGATTTCGGNNATTTACTATTTCCACTATACTAATCAACCAGTATATTATTACCAATTAAGTCCAAAGAAAATCACTGGTGCCAGGAACTGTACAACATCACCATACGAACATGTCGGAACTCCCCTGAAGCGAAATCCACATGCAACCGAACAATAACTGGCGACAGACATTAGCGTATTCAAGAGGGCTAGTTCCAAGTATCAACTAAGGTTTTATCAACACCTGTACAGTGGATTGGAGTGATAACGAAACATGATCAGTTTTATGTAGTGATAATAATCATAAAACCCTCACCGCTGCCCGTCTACTCATCTATGCATTTTCCCAGGCAGTTGCTCTCCTCCTGAAAGTTAACTGTACATTTGCACATTCAATAAACAATAAGGAAGTAAAAAGAGATTTTATTTTTTAATGATTAAGTGGATATCTCCGTTGCGTTCGAAAGCGACCAGTAGATGGGATCTTCAATACAAACGCAGTATCAAAATTACATAAAGAACAAAACATATCATCTGAGTAGTGGGTGGCGATAAGTACTGAACAGTCGTTTCGTTCTTATCGAGGCTTGCTAGCAGTATGTAACATATCCAGACAACAAACGCATCCACTGTGGACCAGTGATAACGAACTATAAAGACCGCACCCCGTGCCTCCGTAGCTCAGTGGTTAGAGCACTGGTCTTGTAAACCAGGGGTCGGGAGTTCGATCCTCCCTGGGGGCAGGCGACGTTTTCGAGACGAAACCAGTGGTAATGATTAGCGGACACACCCCGATGACTCAGCACTCCGTCAACTACGCAATCGAGATCGAGCCTACCGAGCGGTCAGTTTTGGTTCGAATCCTGTGGGTTTCTTCAATGGTCGTGGAGTTGAAACTTTTTATATTCACTATCCTACTAATGAGTAGTCAGTAAAAGTTGGAAGTGTGAAAAGGTCTGCAGTCTTCGTCAGTCTTTCCAATCTACAGCACGACATACTTCGCGGTAGCCCACGAAGCGTCTGATTCTCAGGGCAGCAGGAAACAGATCCAATGAGGGGGCGTTACGGATGCACCCCTACTCGAGCTTGTACAGACCCGAAACGTATAGCCTTGGGATTTCGATTTTGTGTTGCTCGCCAGTGCGATGTTTATCAGTCCACCGCTCAAGATCAGCTCTGAGTCTCATGCACCCAATGAAACAGGCGGAATGTGGAAAAGGCTTCACCAACAGCACTAATCTTTCCCTGTTTGGTGGTTCAACCGAGAATGCATGTACCAAAGGTGGCGTCCATGCAAGGGTTCGAATAGAATCAAAGCTAACAATCTCTTCAAAACTTAACCGTAAGACCACGGTTTTCTATTATTAGTCAAACAACACAACTATGAAAATGGGCTGAGAACTGACAGGTTACAGAAACTGACGAATTCTGCTCCGTGAACTGAAATCAGACTGAAAACAGATTACAATTCGGAATCTTCCCGCAAATGCATACAGCGACAGCACCCTCCAAAAAAGACAAGTCAAAATTGTAGATGTGGTCATATCAACTAACCTTACATTACCTCGCTTCATGACGTACAGCAACTATGTTAAACTACTCATGAGTAGGCAGAGCATAATTGAGAGT